CAAGAAAATATATTCAAAATACCAGAAGAGAAGCTGAATGCGATAGAAAAATTTATGAATAATCAAGTGTCTGAAGAAATCACAGCCAGCGCTATCAGCGCATTAAAGAGTTCTCTAGATTGGCCCAACCACGTAGTGTTTCCAGCTCTCGATATAGCGAGGCTCGCTGTACTTCACAAGGAAGTAAACGATCAACTGTGTACCGAAGAATTGTTATCGATCATACGAAGGCATATCAAATCCGACGCAGCTTTGTCGAATCAAATGCTTACTTTTCGTCTGATAGCCAATATGTTCCAGTATGAAAAGGGAGAGAAACTCTGTTTAGATCATAAGGATGAAATACTCACGTCTCTACTAGATCTACAGTCTCTTGGAAACAAAAATAATCAGGTATGTCACACCAATTATTAAAATAATAATTAAAAACAAAAGAAAGCCTAATGAAAATTTAAATCGTACAAATATTTATAATTTCTAATTATTTAAAAAATATTTATAAAATAATCATAAGTGCAATTCTCAATTTTATATTAATTATTTTAATATAGTGATATTTTTTTATATGAAAAACCGGAAACGGTGCAAGATTTGTAGACGAGCTTACAGATTGTGATGTTACATTACAGGTTGCAATATCAACTTATATATTGAATTTGATCGTAGCGCTTAATAAATATAACGATGCACCTGGTAGAACGAGAGCTCTAAATGTATTATTTACCGTATTGCCTCGTTTAAATGAACCCGAAGCAATGTTCAGAGCTCTGGTTGGACTAGGAACATTATTAGCCGCTACTCCAGATCCCAGTAATCGTAATGAACTAATTAGCGCTGTGCGACAATCCGAAACTGCTTTAAATGTTCTTAGAACTCTATCAGAAAGCACAACTGACCTCAGTATGTCAAACAAAGTGGTAAACTGTTCTAAACAGATTATCGATTTGATTATCTAATGTATAATAAGCAGTGGGACACGCTGCTTGTAAAATTATGAAAATAATCTCGGAATAATTAATCAAACAAGAAAAGAGATTGAAAATATTACAGTTATATGTAATTAATTATGACAATGGTGAATATAAAACGTTTTGTGATGCACTAATAATTTCGGTAAATGCGATTAAAAACCTAAGATAAAATAAGTTTGCACGTGTATCTATGTTTTGCGGCTCGGTTGCTCAATTGTAAAAATAAATACATTTTTATATATATATATATACAATTTATATTCATCATTTAAATGTACTATATATGTCCTTCCATATTACAAAACATTTAAAAAAATATAAATTTGTATAATTAAGGGGATACTGGAGGGACCCAATTATCGACATTGCAGTTTGATCAAAATCTCCAAATTGACTAAATGGAATAAAAAATCCTTTTACAGAATTAAAGTAAACGCAAAATCCTGACGTGGTGCAGTGGATTTTATACTAAAATCGAAAAAAAGTAAAAAATTTTTTTAACTTTTTTATTTTAGTATAAAATCCACTGCATCACATCAGAATTTTGCATTTACTTTAATCCTGTAAAAGGATTTTTTATTCCATTTACTCAATTCGGAGATTCTGATCAAACTGCAATGTCGATAATTGGGTCCCTTCAGCATCCCCTTAATGGATTACAACAATTACATTATATCTTACATTTACAAAAAATACAAAAATGTTAAATTTTGTCCAAAAACAATAAGCAGAGTATCTTTAAATATATTTTCAGTACATCTACGGCAATTTATTAGTTGAACTCATGCAATTAAAATTTTAATATCTTAACAATTTATTTATTTATGTTCAATTATTCATTACAACTGACCAAGATAAAGTTATTCTCGACACACATATTGACTGTTCGGGACTAAGATAAAATGATATGTATTTAGGGCTTTTACGTATTTTTTAATTTCATTTTGTCGTAAAGCATATATACATAAATATTCCTTATTAAACGAACATGTTTTCAAGAGATACTTAATACATATTTTATAATATACATCAATAATACAAAATTCGAAGGAATAGATTCTCCAGATTTTATTATCGATTTTACACCAGAAGTATGTAAATGAATTAAAGTGTTTGCAATATAGGGAAAAAATTAAAACGACTGTTACATGTTCAGATAATAGAAATTGAATGAATTATTACTATTGCCATGGCAGATATAATATCCCGACATATAAATGTATACAACGCATATATAGGTATAGTTTTATGCAAATTAATGTGAACAAGAAATAGTTTTTAGATTTATGTACATAAATTATCATACGAAGCGATTTATAGTATTTATTACAAATTTTTTAAGTATTTAATAAAAAATATTGTAATATATATATATATAT